AGAGACCCAAGAACAATATGGCCTTAGTGGTAGAAATAAAGCTGGGCATTATAGGCCAGAATTTTGGAAGAGCAATGATTTTTTATCCTAGGTTAAGTCTATATATTTTTTAAGTCTATCTGTTTAAAAAAATAATTTTATTGGGGGCTCATACAACTCTTATCACAATCCATACATGCAGCCATTGTATGTCAAGCTCATTTGTACATTTGTTGCCCTCATCATTCTCAAAACATTTGCTTTCTACTTGAGGTAGTTTATTGCGCCAACCTGGCCAATAAACACATATTTCCCAACTACTGATCCTTCCTCTTTCCTTCCAACTTTCACATTCCAATCACCTGTATCAGTGAATCTTGATTACATGTTTGATCAATTTCAGACTGAAGAAATTTGTACAAATCTTCATTTTTTTCAACATTGTCTTTAGTGATTTATGCATCATTCTGAAAAATAGTATTAACTTGTCTTCCTTGTAGGCATATAGACATTGTTTCATCACACATATATAGCATCGTACTTCAAGATTAATCTTGAAATGTTCTTTTTCATGATGCCTGTGACATCCTTCCTCTTGAATTTGTCATTCCTAGCATATTGAATCATATGATTGTTCAATTAGAAATGGTTAATACAAGTCCATAAGAGCCTTAGTAGCATGGCGGGTTATGTGTTAAACTACTAACTACAAGGTTAGCAGTTTAAAACCACTAGTTTCTCCTCAGGAGAAAGATGAGGCTTTCTCCTCTTGTAAAGACTTATAGCCTTGGAAACCCACAGGGCTGTTCTCCTCTGTCCTGTCGGGCCATTATGAGTCAGAATTGACTTGGTGAGTCAATGATCAGTCCATTCATGCCTAGAATATTGATCTCTATACATTCCATTTAAGTTTTGATGACTTCCAGAGGAAGCCGAAGGTCCTGGACACTGATTTAGCCACAGCATCCAGGTCAGCTTTCCTTGGAAGAAGTCCTCCCTCAGTTGTATTTTGAATATTTTCCAGGCTGAGGAGCTCATTTTATGGCACTAGAGCAGACAGAGTCCAACTGCTAGTCATAACAGTTCTCAGTGGCTGAGGTTTCCGATGTGAACGGTTTCTTCCAACTCCTTCTCTGTCCTTAGTCTGAACGCTCACTCGGGTGGTCCTGCTGGCACTTGAAAAGCATATCTTCCGGGATCATAGCAACACGCAAGACACCACAGGACAACAAATGATAGGTGAGCTGGGGCTGCAGTCCTCGGAAACGAATGCAGATTTGCTTTGATTGTATCATGAGTTGATCTTTGTGAGATGCATGAAAGATAAACTGCTCATTGATTAGGAAACTTCCTTGACTTCTTTGAAAACATTGCAACTTTGAGGATGGAGGGCTCTGTCCACTGGCTCAAAATGAAAGTGTCATCGATGCTCTTTTGATAGTAGTGTGCTTTGTTCAAAAGGCTACACCAGCCCAATGATAAGCTTCTCTTTTCTCTCTCTCACAGTTTTCATAAAGGTCTATTTCATTAGTGGTGGATAGCGCATTTAACAGTTAAGCACATTTAAATTATGTATAGGTGACTGTATGACTGCAGCACGGGTAACTGGATAACCAATTGAACTAGAAACCAGCTAACAAGTAACTGTATAAATGTTTAACACACAGTTTTGAGATCATCCTTTGTTTTTTGATCACCTCCCGGTGGGATGACCTGGAGTTGGGTGGGGGTATGGGGAAGCCTGCTGGTCACAATGGAAATATGTTAAGGCCAAATCTTCTGATACCCATTCCCAGAGGTCTCTTCAGCTGGATGACGCCTCCAAGTCCAGGGCGAGCCATTTGTGGCCTCCAGCAGGAGTGCTCTTCCCGGCCACCAGAGCAGACCATGGAAGCGTCACACCGGCCTCAGAGTCTGAGTACAGCCCACTAGAGCTGTTGACTTTTGCAGAAATGGAAGCTGTGGGATCCAACTGATATTTAGAGCAATGCCCAAACAAGGACCGTTGGTACCTGAGGTCCAAGCCAAGTTTACTGACGTGTCAAGGTTTTCACATATTTTTGATACATTGATCCTCCAAATTCTTTCCCATCATCAACATTAGTGTGTAGCTGGAAGTCCTCAGTCCTGTCGCCCACTGCAAAGTTATTCCTTGTCAGCTTTGACTTGGCACTGTCAAAGATCATCTGATAACCAGCAAGCCTGCCGACATAGCCAAAGACACCTGATCCATGGATTGCAGGTCCAGCACAATCAAAGTCAACATCACAACCAAGGTTTATACATTCCCTCTTGTAGGGAACCAGATGTTGGGAATTCCACACCACTGCAAGACTTGGTTTTCACATTCAATTTCTCCAACCCCAAACAAAATCCTTTGTTGAAAATATCGCTGGCAGCTTTGCCAAGGGCAGCATATGATGGAAGAATGTACACTGGCCACACACAGCTCTGCCTGTAGGTCGCCATGGTGAGACAGGGAGGAGTGTTCTGCACCGCAGTGGCCATGTGGCCTGAGGGTACCCCCGCCCATGGGGGGGCCTGCTCAGTCCGTTGGCGGGGGCTGCAAAGGCAGAAGCTGCCTGGCCCTGGGTCAGGCCATGATAAGCTTCTTACATAAATTACTAAAGATGAAATTCTTACATAGGTTATCAAAGGTCCTACAAATTAAAACAGCTGAATTATAAAATAGTACTTAAACATCAACCAAAAGAATGATTGTTGGAGACTGAGTCAAGGAAATGTGTGCTTAAATGTGTGCTTAAATGTTGGGATAGTTCTTCTAAGAAACTCCAAAATGGGAATTCATTCTGGTGCACACTTCTCTTTGTGAACCAAAACAGCAATTGTAATTTTCTCTTCACGGAAGCATGTTAACCAAAAGGGAATGCAGCTCAAGCTACATACAATATTGCTTTATAGATACTGAGTTTTTCATCCTTTTCATTTTTATTCTTTGTTTTCAGTCTTTTTAAAAATTTCAATAAATCATTTTATTGGGGGCTCATACAACTCTTATCACAATCCATCCATCCATCCATTGTGTCAAGCACATTTGTACATTTGTTGCCATCATTTTCAAAACATTTTCTTTCTACTTGAGCCCTTGGTATCAGCTCTTCATTTTTCCCCTCAATCTCCTTCCCTCCCTCCCTCCCTCCCTCCCTCCCTCATGAACCCTTGAGAATTTATAAATTATTACTATATTTTTCATGTGTTATACTGACTGATGTCTCCCACTACCCACTTTTCTGTTGTCTATCCCCCCGGGGAGGGGGTTATAGGTAGACCATTGTGATAGGTTTTCATCCTTTTGACAGTCAATTAAAATTATTTACTATGATTTTCAGCAGCAATATTTCTTACTGTTTCCTTTTCAGCGAATTGTCCACATTTTGCTACAGTATTTTAGGCTTTTTAGCTGTGATTCTTTCAGCCATTAAATAAAAAGTAAATTGAGTTTTACAATTATGTGAGAATTGATTCGTGCACACTTTTTCTTGCAGCCTTTCTTTTCAAACCCTCACATTCTACTGTCACATGTAATTGGCTGGCGGGAATAAGTATTCAGAGATCTTCTTAGACAGAGGCTTGATGTCTAGTTTTGGCTTGAATTTGATGATATTGTGCTTCCATAGCCTTATCTGCCCAGTGAAAACTTTAACATCTGAAGGGCAACATGTTTTCTAAATGCAAGGCATCATGATCACAAAGAGGGCACCAATTCATATTTAAAATAGTAAAGTAAAATAAATAGCTGTGCTTTCCATGTCCACGAGTTCTTTCTCCTTTAAATATGTCCATCTCCATCTTCTGCACAAAGAAGTTGCAAATAACGTCTCATTTTGCTGATATACAAAGATACTTCCTTCCCTTCTGTCATTAGACATGTTTCAAGTGACCCGCAGGGGTCTAAGAAGCATTGGAACCCACAGAAGAGGAACAGGTTCTGTCTTCAACAGTACCCCTCTCGAGCATCCCTTTGTCATCCACTGCAGCCCTGGGCTCATAATGGGGACTCTTGCATTTGCATGTTTGAATGTTCAATGCAGAAATAATTTCACCATTATTTCAATAGTAAAGGAAAGTGGTCTCGATTAATAGAATACTCCTACTTTCAAAGATTTGAATTCAAATCCAGCTCTAATCTTAAGGAAAAGGAACTGTGCTTGAAACTTATTTGATTGATTGATGTAAACTTATTCATTGATGTAAAAATTAAGTGTATGTGTTGAGGGGAGGAAAGTAAAAGTAGGAAAGGAGGAAAAGTCCGAATAATTAATCTGCTTCTTTTCTGTTCTGGAAGGCATACAACTAGGGTGTAACTGTTCAGTGACTTTTGTTAAAGGATTAGGTGAAAAAAGATGCCCAGTGTGTCTAGCACAGTGTCTGACACATAGTGGTAGCTTCTCAATCAATAGGAACTATTGACAGGGGACTCTTCTTTCTGCATGATTCACTATGCCATTATTTTTGCCCCTCCTCCTCCCTTCCTTAAAGTGTGCTTTATTTCCCAATCTCTAAAATAGGTTCAATGTAAGCAAGAACTGAATAGGTCAGCGATTTTCTCTTCTTCAGAAATGCCAGGGATGCATGCGCTAGATCTTATGCCAATAAATGGTGATTTTTATTTTTCTCATTGACCCACAGTCTGGTCATGGGCTCACTGAGAAATTAAGAAAATGACACTCTTTTATGACTGTCATCTCACAGTCACTCAAATCTGTACTGGGATGTCACAAAAACAACTCCCTTTTAGCCCAGAGGGAAAAAAAAAAGAAAGAAAGTAAAGGGGAAATTCAGATTAGTCACAAAGAAGTTCCCCCGCCTGCCTGCAAAGGCTTAAGTGTTCAAACTGAGAGAGTCCTGTCTGCTCTTTCAATCGCCTTTATCTCCGGCCTTGGGACCTCTGCACTTTCTGATTGATACTCTTTGTTTCGCCTTCATCTCCTCTTTTGTGGGGAAGACACCAGTCTTCCCGTTGCGACAGCTTTCATCTTCCCTGCATCCAGATTGTGGAGATGGAAAGGGCCCAATCCCTGGACGAGAATGTGGGAAATGCACCAAGGCTGAGGAGGAACAAGCTCTTGCTGGTGGTCTCTGTGATTCATGGGCTGGGGCTGCTGCTCTGCCTGATCTACATCTGCCTGCAGCTCTCTGCTTCTAAGGTAAGATGCCAGGCAGCGCATTTCCTCTTCCAGTTGGTGCTGAGGGCAGCCCTAACACCTTCAAACGGCCACTTGAAAATGATCTGATGACAAAATTGTTAGCAGTGTTGCCCCCCACTCCCCTGCCTTCAGTTATTGTAAAGTGTGGTTAAATACTCTTCTCTTTCTGTCCTTGCCTTCCTCTTTTCCCTGGGGAGTGGCATTGGCTGAATGAGTGAATGTCGGGGAGGGACACACACTGCTTTGCGATCATTGGTGGTTTTCCTTCGCAAGTCAAAGATCCTGGTCTTTCTGGCTGAGCCTGATTTGGGAGCTTTGAATCATGGATGCATTTGGTTTATCCATCCTGGTACTAATGTCTCTGGCTAGGGGATTAATATAAAAAGGAAATTGGAGACCAATTCTACTTTTTCATCATATTAATAAACTCCATACAGATCTGTGTATGAGGGGGTGGGGAGGTTAAAAGGCCTGTGGAAAAAATCCAGGAACTTTTAATTCTATGAATTTTGTGACATCTCTTGGTATAAGAAGACTTCTTTTTCAAGAATGCTGAAACTATTGATATTAACTCTTTTAAAATAGCTAACCTGTGCATTTTAAGAGCTAAGGCGTGTGTGCGCGTTTTGTGCACATTCCCATCTACGCCCAACAATTAATTCAGGTGTTGTCTCTAATAGTCTCTATCCGTCATAGCGTAAAGACATCACTTGATTCCCCCCCCCCCATTTTGTCCAATATATTATGCAATGGGAGATCTCTCTCCCTCTCTCTTGTCTCCCTCGATCTCTCCATCATCATCTTCAGTATTTCATGACCCTTAATTAAAATCTCATTTTTCCTTCATTAATCCCAGGCACATGCACCCCTCTATTATTATTTTACACATACAAACATTATTAGGTCTTTAAGGACGTTTTGGATGGCAGGAGACCCCCTTGATAAGGAAATAAAGGAATATTCCTCTTGCATTCCTTTGTTGGGATGAGTTTAACAATATTGGCTTCCATGGCTGGCTGAGTTGGAGAAGTTCTCCCTGTTAAAAGTCAGACCGTAGGAACTGGTACTTCTCTGGACAGCCATGCCCTAAACTGGGCACCCCAGATGAAACCAGGATGCGGTGGTGAGCAGTGCTCTCAGAAGCCTGTGCCTCTCCGCCCACAGGGACACAGGGACGGAGGGTTGGCAGTGCGAGGAGAGTGGGTGTGTCTGGCTGTGACTGTGGTGCCCACCGAGGGCTGGTGTCCACAGGCCCCACAGGTGCAGGCCGGCCACTCTCCCACCTCCAGACCGCTTGACCAGACATCGCGCCCATCATCTGCTCCCTAGACCACACGTGTCGTGCTCTGTGGGCGAAATCAGAGTAGGGGGATGTGGGGAGAAAGGGGG